TATGTTCCCTGCAAAAACCAACGTCACAGACATGTTCCTGTTGTTAGAATTTTGCATCGCTTTATAATGTATCTGTTCTTGTTTTGTTTTTATATAATTTCTTTTATTTATTTTGCATTTTATATGATTTTATATGATTGTCTATTGTTGTCTGTACCTCATCTGTGTTCTTTGTTAAAAACAGGTCTCTCTTGTAAATGAGTCCTCGAGGCTCAATGAGACTAACCTGTATAAATAAAGGTTGAATGAAAAAGATAAATAATTAAGGTTATGGAGCTTTTATGTGGCTTACCTATCCTATTACTATTACCTGATCTTAGCTTCAAGAACTAAGATGGAATTGGCAGGCCAAAGTTATACAAAAATTGGAAAAACAGAACCGGACTAGAAAATCTGGAACAGATGCATCCCTAACAGAGATACCCGGTAATGCTCTTTGTGTAACAAAATATTTGACAATAACATATGTCTTTCTTTCTTGAAAAAATAAAAATGTCAACAAAGACTAAAGTGTTACTGTTTTTAGCAGACAGATGCTACAGTATGATAAGTAAGAAATGGCGTATATCAGGCATACACACAGTAACAAAGACAGTCGTGGATAAAGGGTGAAGATGTATGAACTGTGTATATTTGTGCATACTAAGACACACTGTCACACACATATATATATATATATATATATAGGCCTGCAGGACTCTATATATAGAGTAAATAATGGTGAGATGGGATGAGAGAAAAGCAGGTAGGAGACAAAGTGAACTGTAGTTGGGCCACTTACATGGAAACATTGGCAGTGTACAGGAAACTGACTTCTTCATAGCGCAGAGTTTTATCCCAGACAAAGAAAAGTACAGTGTAACTTTAGACACAACAAGTCTCTTTTTAATTTATTGTTTATTTAAGCTACAACACATGCACACACTATAAAGCAACTACTTAGTACAAAATAACAACTAGGCAACTTCCACTGTCATGCACCAAAGGAAACAAAAAAAATCATCAGTACTCAATTTACCTTCATCATTCTTTTAAATGATATATATTTTAATAAAGAATAATGTCATTAAGCCTCTTTCAGGACCATAAAGCACTCAGGAACTATTGGTTTCATGCTCACTACAAAAGGAAACTAAAAGTTATGTGCCATCACCAAAAATAATCCAACAACACAGTCATAAAAGCATGCCAAAACAGAGACAACCTGTTTGTATTTCAGTCTTTGTTAGACAGCAAATATCCACATTTTTAAATAAACCATGCACACCAAGGATTCAATAGCTAAACCCATGCCAGTGGATGGTAATAAACTGCAGAGTCGTACTCAGCAGTGGCTAAAAATTCATTTAAAGAGTGAGCCTGTATTTCAGAGCTTCTGAATTGTAATGAACACGACACACTTCAACAAACTCTGAAATCTGAAAATGAAGTCACATCTGCAAGATGAGCTCCAAATAGAAAACATCCAGCGTTCTTCCCTTGGTTGAAAGAATGTATAAACACAAAGTTTGTCCCGCGCCAGCCTTATGTCTCTTCAAGCTCATGCACCATAAACAATAGAAAGAGAGAGACACTCCACAGACTCCTGCTGCTCGACCATCATGCTGCTGACGCTCGACTCACTGCAGACCATCACCACTACTGGAGCACGACACATGCAACATGACAACTGAAAACAAAGACAAACCTCTCACTGCTTTGAGAAAAAGTGACTGATATCATGCACAACTTGAGAAAACGGAGCTGCGTTAAAGCAATACCAGGGGCAAACAGTTGACTGAATGAATGGGTGGCACTGATGCAGGGTACAGCTGGCTGCATCAGTACCCACTGAGCTTGCTGACTGACTGAACGTGAAGGTGATGTAGGGAGATACGGTGTAACAGTGGATGCAGGTGTCTGTCTCTCATTCTCAACCACACCGAGGCAGAAGTGAGAGTAAAAGAACTAAAAAGAATCCAGCCTCATTCATCATGCAGGAACTGACTCGCTTAGACCCAGACACCCACAACAAAAAGAAACCACTAGAGAAAGCCCATGCACAAGTCCTGGCTTACAGTGGCTTCAGTCAAGTGATCGAATATGAACAATTGGCTCAACACCCCCCCCCCAAAAAAAATTAACATAAAAATCCACTTTCAAACACTCAACACATGCTTCAATTAAACAACATGTACTTTAAATCAAAATAAACAACCTCAAAGCATAAATACAAACATAAAAACTCAAAGGCTCACTGGAAAGAATCCAGATTCCATAAAGTGAACATGCATCAGTACCGCTGTGAATCCCCCGCATGCTGCTGTGGCACCAGGAGCCACCAGCTGACACAACCACAGCACCGGGAGAGGGGGAGCACAAAGAAATTCCCACACACTAAAGAAGAAAATAAGGGGCGTCTGGCAGCATTCAGCCATGCATCATCCTTTCACAGGGCTCCCCTCATGCCCTCCAGTGCCAGCTACACAAACATCATTCCAACTGTTGCACGAGAAAGTTATAAAATCAGCGTGGCTACACATTGTGCATCGTTGGAAAAAAAAAATAAAGAAACTGAGGAGGCAACAGGTTAATATGAAAAATAATGCTGCAGATGATAAGTAACAAGCATGCTTTAATTTTTGTGTTTTTGCACCACCCTCAAATCATTCCCACCACAAACAAAAACCATAAAAAAAAGAAGGCTCGCTGGATTAAAGAAAATAAGACAAGGAACATTTTGCAGAGGACTGGGGAGTGGGATACTAGTGGGCTGCATCAGAGCATATCACATAAGGGAGGATGGGATGGATCTAGTTAGCAGTCGGTGATCAGGCAGAGTTGATGAGAGAACAGAGAGAAGACAGAAAGGAGAAGAAAGGCGAGAGAAGGAGGGAGAGAAAGGGAGAATGGAAAATTACCTCAATCTTCCGACCTTCCACCAGCGTGCCGTGGAGCTTTTCCCTGGCTTTCTCTGCGTCTGCGCTGTTTTCAAATGTCACAAAGCCAAAACCCTGTGGAACACAGCAGAGAAGGATGGAGACTCAGGGCCACGTCATCAAGGACTGGATGGTGGTAGAAAATAATCTATTAGTTATCAGTGCTTTTTAGAGTTGGGGTGGCTGAGTGGTTAGAGCAGTCGTCCTCCAGTGCAAGAGTTGGGGGTTTGATTCCACCAGCAGTCACAAGCTGAAGTGTCCCTGGGCAAGACACTGAACCCCTCACTGCCTCTGATGTGTGTCCCATCGATGTATGAATGTGATAAAGCACTGATTACTCTTTGCAGAGATCTAGTAGAGTGCTGCATGAATGGGTAAATGAGGGCACAGGTTGTGTTGTAAAGAGCTTTGAGTATCTTGATACGACAGAAAAGAGCTATATAAGTGCAGTCTACCATTTAACTTTCATTACAGCAAGGTGCACATGTCCACCTACCTTTGAACCCCTCTCATTGAAAATAATCTCTACATCCAGAATCTTCCCAAATTGCTGCAAAAAACATTAAAGCAAATAAATTAGAGAACATAGATGCACATAAGGGAGTAATTTACATGTTTAAATCTTATATTTTGTTCTGAAGCTAGTCTGGAACTAAGAAGATTGCAGCTAATGTCCACTAGGGGGCACTATTACACCAAAGACCAACACCAGCATTGATTCTTTTTGTTGTTTGTTTGTTTGTTTTACCCTTTCTTGACTTGAACTCTGCCCTGTCCTATTGGTTTCCTCCTACATTGTCTATTACATTAACACACTGACATACATAAAAACTGTCCCTGACAGCATAAAGAACAACACACACAAGTGTGTTTTTTACTCTTTTGTCAGTCTTTACACCCCAACAGATTGGCGAACCTTCAGCAGTGACAAATTTATTGATGTGCTTAAAATGGCCCCGCCATGTTCTGAGATTCTTACCCCGAACATCTGCCTGAGGTCTGGGTCCCGAAAGCGAAATGGGATGTTGGAGACGTGGAGGCGTTTGGGTGTCCCTTTGGCCTCTGTGGGGTCTCCTGCAGAGCTTCCTGCTACTGCACCTCCTGCACCACACTGTGCACCCAACTCACCCTGAGACGTCTCCTCTGCCTTTAACTGCGATTGTTTTGGAGCGGGGTGATAAAAAGAAGAACAAATGTTCATATTTTAATGGAAATAGTTTGTCTGCTTCACCTTCAATCACATTTTTATGTTTTTGAAATTGTGTAAAAGAGTTCATGATGATGAATTTAAACCATCAGGAATGTTCCATTTGTTTTGTTAGCAACATTTAATCAGTACACTGAAGTCAAACTTTAGATCTTTTTCTACGACATGCATTCATGAACATATGAGTTGTTTCCGCAGAGCTTAATCTAATAAAAATATTCCTGCGAGTAACAGTTCTTAGGTACGGAGCACAGGAAAAGTCGATAACTTGACAGCAGACTAAAATACAGTACTTGTATCCCTTTTATCTTTAGACAGCCCACTTTTTGACAAGGTTTAAATTTTATAATGCTCGGCCGCAATAGCAGCTTCATGAGCCAAAAATGCAGAGCTTGAAACTATTTGTTTGTGTCAGCATGTTCATATGTTCTAAAATATCATGCTGACATCATGCATTTCCTCCCTGTCGCTTTATTTCATCAGCTGTTATCGTTCTAACATTTGTAAAAATTATCAATGGGTAACACTTGGCTCCAGCTGATGAGCTGCCGTCATCAGATTTGCAGACTGGTCATAAAAATAAAATAATAGTGAAAGTCAACGTAAAGCAGAAACACAAATCATGATAAATAAGTTGACATCTGACTACAAACTGTGGACCTGATATCAATGTTAGTGGATAAATAAATAAAAATCTTGGCAATTTTTAAAAGCGTGCTAAGGCAGCTACTTAAAACTCAACATACATCAACTTTCTTCTAAAAACCCTACAGTAATTTAGGATTTACTTTTGTGATAACCTAATGTGACAAAATGTTTGCGTGTTGGGTATAAACTGTATAACAAGTGTGAAGAAAGCCAAGATGAGAAAAATAAAGCTGCAGCCAGTGGCTCATTAGGGTCGCCATGGTAACTACACACTTGTCTCTCACTCCCTGACAGCACACTTAATAAGATAGGCATCCAGCAACAAAGAGTGGAAAGAAGCTCCAAATAAAGAGTTCCTGTGCAAAAATTATCAGCATCAGGTCATCCATCAGATGTTAATGTTCGTCTACGGTGTTTTATGAAGGCGACATGACAAGTGAAACATAAAAAATTCCACTTCAAGTCTAAAGAAAAACAATAGAAGTCAGAGTTTGGATGTGCAAACTCTGCACTCTGAGCGGATTTAAGTGAAAAATCATGACTCTAACGTAGGAAAACACACACCGGGTCAAAGTAGGAAAAAATGCCTCCACTAATGCAAAAACTGCAGAAGAAGTGTAAAGTTTGTCTTAATAAGAAAAGTTTGTAATTTTGTTTTATTTAACAGCTCAAAATCTAAAGTGTGTGACCTCACTCAGTTTCACATTTTGTAGTAAAATCTCTACAAATCTTAGAAACTAAATCGTCACTTTGTAAAAACGTTAAGAGATTAAAATGTTTGCTCAGTCATGTAAAGCCCAACTTTCTGTCACCCACTTTAACTCTGAACAGTGTTTATACTGAAGTAATACTGAGCTGTAGAGCCCAAGAGAGCCGTTTCTTTTACACGTTCCACTAAAACCCCATTCAGGTGTATGAGAACAAAAACTGCAGTTTTAATTTTGTTTACTTTTGCTAATATCCTCTGCACTAAAAGTTGTGGCACATTCTTCCCAGTCGAGCTCTCTATGTTTTGTTTGTTTGAGTTTTTGTAAAGCTGCAGGAGAAGCAGAAAATTGAACATTATGACCAAAATGACAGACTAACAAACAAAAGCTTGTAGGGATACTTTAGTAACTCTGCTACTTTTCAAAACACAAAAAATGTTTGACTAACCCATTACCAACCAATAAAATATATACAGTATATACAGTACATTTGAAGAATACTCCTTTAGATAAATAAACATCAGAAGGAAGTTTTCTTAAAGTATCGTTAAATTTTACAATTTATTAATGTCGTAAAAATGATCTTAGACAGAAAGTACATTCAAAAAATAAACCAGTATGCTCAAACATCATCTTGAACACGTCTCTGTGAATGCAGAGTGCTTACATTGTTACTGGTTGTGGTGGTGGCTCCGTTAGTACCAACCCCTACCTCTGCTGTACCTTGGCCCCCACTGCCAAACATGGGCCCCGGAACAAACTCTGTTCCCGGGAGCCCATTCTGAGGAGGAGGTGGAGGGGGGAAGGTTGCAAAAGGCGGGGCGACCAGACCCTCCTGTCCTCCGGTCGAGTCCTGAGAGCCCTGTGGGGTGGGGGGCAAAAGAGGAGGGGGGAGAGGAGGAGGCAAATGAACTTATAGTCTGTGGAAACCTTTCGCAGCAGCAGGAGCAACATAATGGAGTAGAAAGACAGGTTTAAAATTCTTCATCTCAAATTTCACTCTCACTCGCTCCTACTCCCCGTGTATGATCCCCCCCACCCCACCCCACCCCACCCCGTTCAACCTCCACCTCTCTGACAGGCATGTGTTTTCAGTCAGTCGACTATGAAATATTTACACCAAACACATCTATTATTAAAAGCCACCAAATTTGATACAGTTGGAGATACAAAGGTGCTTTTGGAATGAATGACGTGTTAACTGGGACACGTTTGTATTGTGAACATTTATTCTTTGCATTTGGAGGCTGTTTTTTTTAAATGTGACAACACTTTGGGTTAAACGTGCATGAGTAGGGGGCTACTATTTTTCCTCAGGTCCTTTTTGTTTGCAGTGTTACATCTATACCTGCAGCTGGTTCAGCTACACATTTTTTAATAATAGAACCAACGTTCCAGCACAAACAGCTTTCACTCTGTGTGTGTGTGTGTGTACGGTGACGCTGCATTATTGCTTGCCTCAATCGCGTTGCACACTCAAGGGCATCTTGAGCTGGGTTCAAAAACCACCCCCTCCCCACCAAAAAAACAAAGTTAAAGAACTAAAAAGACGATGGAGGGGGAGGAAGTGAGAAATGAAGGCGAAAATGAGACAACGCTGCTTTTATCAATCCAGCTCGATGCTCCGTTGCGTAACGGTTGAGATAAAATTAGCTACGTTAAAATGTAGCTGGAGACAGTTGCCAGCGCTGCCTCGTGAGTGCGGGGTCCCTGCCTGCTTTTCTCTCCACCTCCCTGTTCGTTGTAGCAGAAGCATCTTGGCTTCACAGCAGCCTCCGTTGCTTTTGAATCAACCAAGCCAGAAGAACCGACATCCAAAATCACAAAACAACAGTCTTTACCAAATGTAAGATGACTTTCAGCATGTAGCACTACAGTACTAAAGGGAAGGTTCAGACATTTTAGAGTGGGTGTCTGTAGAAAAGCTGGGATGGGAGATGATGGGAGTTGTTTTAAAATGGCAGCAGGTCTTAGCCCCACTTGAACTAGATATTAGCTCATCAGTCTTGACAAATGTAAATATTTCTCCAACGTGAGCTTGTTTAAAGAGCTATCTACAACAGGTAAGATATTTATGACTTTTTAATCCACCACCCACCTCAAAATGGCTGAACTACACAATGCTGATTAATATCCTGCTTCATTTTCTAAAAATAAACCATAAAGTCCCTAAGTGAAACAAATGCAAAATAACATTCAATGGATTATAGACATTTACACATTAAAATTTATTTTACAATGCTGATTATAGAAACAAGATTACTTACTACATACAAGGTAACATATAAAACTTTAAATCTAACCTCACATCTAACATGTAGCCTTTAACTACTGGTTAGCTGTAAGCTGTAGGTGGGCAGGGAGACGCCCAGAGACACTCTGTCTCCAGACAGTCTTTTTAATTAGACGGAGTAACTCAGATGCAGCAACACAAATGGGCTCTCTTCCTTGCTTTAATCCTATAGCCCGACAGCTTACTGTTCTTCTGCAGTGATGGGTGCGTTCACTGCGAACAGGCAGCTGAGCCTAAAAGGCCAATCTGCAGCTCAGATAGCTTCTGGGGTCTGAGCTTGACAAACGGGAGAAATGAGAGACGTCTGTCCAATCCAGAGACAAGATGGAAAAGTCACATGCTGCAGGTCTTATTGTGGTGAGGTTGAATGGACATTGAACACAATTAAAAAATGCAAGAGCTGATAGTTGTTTACTCTCTCAACTACTGTCTTGTTTCTTTTTGTTGTAATAATAAAAGGATCTTAAAAAAACTAAAAGTACATATATACATATATATACACCAGTGTTTCTCCTACAACTATGCAAA